TAGAAGTGGTGCCATTTGGTGGCATTCGTGTAAAATGAAAACACAGGAGCCTGGCCGGTTCTGCCACTGGAGTAAAATCTATTTTACTATAATGGCTGTAGCCCACGCCGGTTAGGATGTGGATTGGATTAATTAGATCGACCTGAACTACTGTATTTACTGACTCACCTATTTATATGTAGATTAGATTAGAACTGATTCGACCTAGATTGATGTATTTACTATTGATTTGCGCCGCCGCCTAATTTGCACACCTCTAAAGTATACTTTTCAACAAAAAAAGTAAATAACTACTACTCGCATATTCTATGTATCTTGCCTTGACAACGAGTAACGACAACGTTGCAAGAACATAGCCATACTGCAAAATGTTTTTTTTTTTTACGACAAGCACATGCATTTATCTGGGCTGTCATACTTGAAGTGAAATGAAAGCTGGGGTCAACGTTTAAAGTGCTGACATTTGAATATGTGGTGGTGAGAATGAATTTGTCAAGGTGGAACAGTTTCCTTGATTCTATAGATGAATCATGAATGTCCGCATGTTACCTTGATTTACGTACTCTGCTGTAGACGTGACACTGAAAAATAATTGCAGATTTATTTACACAATCTCACAAAACTGAAATGAAAAATTTAGCTGAAGTTACCCAAGTTCTACCCTTGAAACACGAGCTACCAGCATAAGTGTGTAGCTGAAGACGTTTGGTGTTGCACCACCAATAATAATAATAATAATAATAATAATAATAATAATAATAATAATAATAATAATATTATTATTATTATTATTATTATTATTATTATTATTATTATTAAAAGACATGAGTAGCCCAGCAAGCTTCAGCTGATAGCAGTTCTAGCCTAGAAAAACCAGACGGCCTTCAAGCCGGGCCGAAATCGTGGCATAGACAAAACATGCATAAATCTACAGACGTGAGTCAGATATGCCGTGTGATATGTAGAAGCAACAGGCACCAAAAGAGTGGATATACCAACATGGATGTTAAAGAATGCTTTAGCCAATGTGAAGGACAAGTTGCCGAGCAGAAATTTCCTTAGTCTAGTTTATGCCATAGGCTGACATAATTGTGACCAGTACATCGGTGAAACTGGTAAAAGTTAAACAACAGAATATGATACCACAAAACGAGGCGTGGCCTCGACTGCCCTCCCTGAACACACGGAATCACAGACCACCAAATAGACTTGTAAAACTCTCGAATCCAGATACAGACAACTGTACATACGCTGCACAGGAGTGATGGGAGGCTTCTGACAATGTACTCTCTCTGCTTACGTCACGTATTTAGGCGTACTGAAGTACACTGTGCCTTTTTCATGACTTTTAAACAAGGCTCTCTCCCATATGAGGTACTGAAATGTCAGTAAACTTTGTGTTCTATGGGTCCCTTTCGCGTTTACACTCAGAAGCAAGAGTTATGCACTGTCCTTTTTTTTTTTTCACACACCTTCCAGCAGCCCACTGTAGTTGCAGCTGAGAGACTTTTAAGCTTTGATGAATGGCGATGCTTATTTTTGTGACGGTCCCACAGAACTGCTGTCAGTTTTCATGACCTGGCCTGGTTTTTTTTGAAATTCCCTGACTTTTCCACGTTGGCAGACACCCTGCTTTTATGTGCACTGTAAATGAACAATACATGTTTCTCTAGCATTTCTCATTTGATAGTGAGACTGCTTGACAATAACCCCATCTTTCAAGCGCAACTTAGTACCACATCCCCTGTGCCCCAACGGCAGCTTAACCTGCTACAATCAATGTATTATGTGACTATTCTCTAAAGTAAGCTTCAATTAGACAACTCATTTGTTGTGTTTGCCATGGAACAGTGAAATACCTAAAATTCTTACTTGTTCGAAGTCCGCTGACAGCTGATCAAGATCTCCTGGAAATGATATTACCTCTTCGGCTATATCAAGGAAATATTCGAGCGTGCGCTCCACGACTCTAAATGCTGTCGCAGTTGCCATGCCAAAGCGTCCAGCAACGTCCCTCAGGCACGCCTTGTTTGCAGCAAACCTGACACAGCAAACACACATTATGGAAGAAAGTGATCAAGTAAAGCCTGCTTTGTGAAATAAAGGCATGAAATATTTGCATCAAAATTAGCAGCCGTAAGAAAAGTAGAAGCTCTTAACACTGTTCTCTCTGGCTGTGCAGTTGCAAGCGGTCATATTTCATTGGTTTCCATTGCATCACACTTAGCAACTTTCAAGGACAAAAAGCACAAGCGGCGTAGCCACGGGAAGGCTACTAGGGAGATTTAACGCCGCCGAAATTGTTAAATTTCACATGTGTATATTCTCTACACACGCGCACATAAACACACGAACAAAAATTTATAATGGTTGGACTCCCCGTCAAAATTCTGCGCACGCAACGAAAAAACGTACTTCTACGCCGAAGCACTTGAAAGCATTAAGATTATACACACTGGTAGGCATGACTTTTAAAACAGCGTGCAGACTTACCACAGAAAGACCAGAATGTGCTCTTCCGCGGTTTTCGAGGGGGACCCACCACGATCACTGCATGGGTAGTGACGCGAGCCTTCAAAACCACGGATCAACGTTTCCGCGACACGCCTCGACACCCTGAAGTCTTGACGGAACTGCAGAGAAGGAAATGATAAAAAGATGAAATTAGGTTCATGTAGTATTATGAAAAGAGGGAGCTCCGCGCTTACCTGCTCGTCTGTGTACAGCCGCGCAACGTTCTCGATGAACCCCAAAATTTTGGGACGTTCGCGGTGGGACTCCGAAAAAGTTTCCCGAAAGAAGGCTTCGCATAGCGCTTGTCTTTCCTCGAAGTCTTCGTCGTCTGAGCTGGACGAGCTGCTGCTTGAAGTGCTTTCGTCGCTAGACAGAAGTTCCGCCAAGGCAGCGAACGCAGCCATTTTGCAAAACTCAGCAACGTACAACGACGGAAGTGACGTATGCTGCTCGTCGTGTTTCCGCCCGAATCTGCGACTTGTCGGCGGAGCAGTGCGAGCAATCCGCCTCGGAGCGAGCTGCTCTGAAACTACCAGTGAAAAGCGCGGATCCACTCTGAATCTACCAGTGAAATGCGGTTTCGTCGCCACGGAGCAAAAAAACCTGCTCCGAATCTACCAGTGAAAAACAGCATTAATTTATCCATGTGGATGTCTAGACAATTTTACCACGTGGTAAACGACCGAGAGTGTTGTCAACGTTTAGATTCACTTCTTCTGCACGTTTTTGTCGGTTTGTTGTGGAGATCTCAGTCTGGATGACTCCAGTGAACGGTTCCGTGTAGAGACAGGTGGGTCAGTGAAAGACTCTTGAGCTAGAGGTGCTCTGAAAAATAAACAAGGCTGACTTTGTGACGTCGATGTGTACGGTGGGCGAATGTGCTTGCTGTTAACGCATATAAGAACTAACACATCATATGCTAGGAAAGACGAAGTTGAAAAGAACAAAAAGGGGGGGGGGGGGGGGGGTGCTCGATTCTGACGCGTCTGTGTTGAAAGAAAAGCACAACATAGGAAGCGAGAGAGAGAGATACAAATTTATTGAATAAATTTTGATTTTTTTCGAGCGCCGCTGACGTTCAGGCGGTATACGACGCACACCTCCTCAGCTCTTTTCACTGCGCATATTTGGGTCACCATGCTGGCGTTGCGGATGTTTAACGAATGAAGTTTATGCCTTACTGCCTTGCAATGGCGGAGAGGTGGAACGAATCACGTATGCCAGTGCGGGATAGTGGGATGAACCGACTTTAACGAGTTTACGTGAAGCCAACAAAAGCGGATTGACTAAACACTTTGAGGGTTGACCGTCAGTCGTGTGAGCGATCACCGGTATACAGGCACAGAAATTCCCGAGGGAGGCTGAACACAAAAGGAAGACTGTATCGGCCCACTTTGACAGGGTTGATTGAGTTAGCTTGACCTTCAGGTAAAGTGCTTGTGAACGCTGTTGAGTTGGTGCTGTGATGAATTGATTGCACAAAACTAACAAAAACTGAAGAAGAAGATACATTTGGAGAAACCCTTGACCTCAATCCTTGTCTGTTATTTCTACAGCCTTTATTAGTTTTGCGCTGTCAGTTCATCACAGCATGGAACCATATATACCGACTCGACGAGAGGGGGGCACATCCAGAATTCCTTTTTAGGGGTGGAGGGGAGGGTCCAACCACTCTTTACTTATAGTCATGCGTGCGTTTGTATTTCGTGTGTATATATACACGTGCAAAATTGGACTACTCCGGGGCAGGGAGTTTAACTTCGGGTTGGGTCAGCGCTCCAAGAAACAGCAGCTTTGGGCTGGAACCCATGCTATTGCGCATCGCTTCTGTCAGCCTTCCACGTAACCGACATTATCTCGACCGGCCACGATAAACAATTAAATTCCTGCAATGTAGCTCTTGTTACAGATAAGGTGCGTCTGAACGTGGCTTCGCTTTCAACATCGTCGCATCGGGACGTTCGAGTCGACTTCAGAAAACGCGAGGCTGCTGTCAGTGCCCAGTAAGTAAGCCAACGCCGTGAAGGCGCTGCTGAATCGGATTCCTCCGGGACAAGTTTTTCTACAAGACGAACTACGCCTTCTACTTGTCGGTCGACGCGGTCGCGTGAAGCTCGAGCATTGTTCAAGCCTTCTTTTTCATCTTTTTCGTCGCGGTGCGGTGACGCGCCGCTTGTAAGAAGTGGGGACCGCCTTTGGCGAAAAAGAAATGCTGGTTGAGACGACGCGTGATACACATACCCGCCGAGATCGTTACTTCTTTCCTGAGAGATGAGTCTTGGCGGGAGAAGTCGGGAGGGGGGGCCGGAAACCGAAACCTGTTTCAGCGGCGAGCCGACACGAGCGGCGTCCATCCCAGCGGCCTGCGCGCTCGCCTCTCCCCTCTGAGAGCGGCGTGCTCCCTTCCGCAAGAAGTTTCGAGCGTGCCAGCGCCTCTAGCCGTCGCTTGCGGCCGACAGCGCGCGAGGCCCAGTCGGCTGCTGTGCTGTGCCGCCGCCGCCGACGAAGCGCGGTCTCACGAATCGCCGGCGCGAGATATGGACGGGTTCTTCACGTGCGTGGCTTCAGAAGCGGATGCCCGTCGTTGTCCAGCCCGACTGCGCGTGCATTGTGTACGCCGCTGCTCCGTGGGACGCGCCTCGTGTGTTGTCGGAACTGCGCGCCTCGGTTGGTAGCGTCGTGAGTTGACCATCTTTCTGCGCGAGTTTCACCCTGGAACGGCCGACAGTGACCAACCAGTGATCGTTTCCTTCTTGTTTACCCTCTTTTCCTTTTCTGTATTCACGTGACAGCGCTCACTTCACATGGTGATCCTCTGAGGTGCTTGTTTCAAGGAACCAAGTGAATTACCCATCTTCTCCGGTGATGTGAGGTGAAAATTTTGCCACTCATAGTTGTGGCCCGTTTTCTTTTGATGGTTTTCGTGCTCCGAATTGTGATGATCGTCACTGCTGTTCCCAAGGCGAGGAATATACTCCTGACGTGTGTGTCCTTGTGAGCTGATTCTATAAGTGAGGTCGGCAGCGCGCCCGTTCGCTGCGCTTCACGATGAGTTACGAAGTGGATGATGATTCGTCGTCGGAGTGCGACGCCCCGCCGGTGTACTTCGGACACGAGCCGGATGACTATGACGAGCAACCGAACTTCGTCGTCGTGTCTACCATGGTGAGTAAACACTGATCGACCGCCTACCGTAGACTACGCCGTCGAACTCTGATTCTGTTTGCCCTACCGCCTAGTACTGATGCGGTCTGGCAATAACCCGTTCCCCTTTACTTACAACGAATTAGCACATCATTGACAGCTGGGTTAACCCACAATCTCACGCAATGGTGGATGCAGGATTTTCTGAAAGAGGATTGGGCGTCAGCTTATAGAAAGTGTCATACCTAAAAAAATATCGGGGGCGTCAACTTCAACACCCATACTCAGCTTACATACACACATTTCAAAGTAAAGTAGTGGAGGAACGTCCGGATTTGCCCGTACGTTGTCCTCGTTCGATAACCTGATTGCGCTTTAGAGATCTTTATCTTTACTGAATCACTGATGAAGTACTGCATTCGAAACGCACGAGTTCATTTATTTATCGCGAGACCACTTGTGCGTACACTCGAGGTGTATTTGCGCCGCCGCCGTCATGTTCTGTAAAAAAAAAAAAAAATCTAAGGACGACAGCATATCGCTCCACGCGTCGTGCGCTTTCTGTAGGACGGTAAAAGCGTGCGAGAGCTGCCGACGGTCGCAGTTTCCAGCAGAGATGAAACGCAAAGGCGCATGAAGATGTGCCGCGGAGAGCGGCCTTCTAACCGTAGACCCGCATCTGGTAGCCTTCCCGGCATTTCGCCTATTTCTCTCATGGACTACACACTTCCTAACGTTAACCACGTTCCTGCCTTCTGATGAAACCGTGACATTCATTGAATGTAATTGTTGAAGTTAAAAGAACAACCGTTGTTTCGGACGGCTGATCCTCTTCCTCTACTTCTTCACTGATCCATGCTTATTGACTAAAGAATAATCACAACAGCACAACAAAAACTATGTGGTGTCACTAACACGCACATGAATATTGTGTTTATATGTTGTTGTGTAATTAGTTAATGACAGTTTCAAAGAAAAGTGATTGTAGTGTGGCGTGTACCAATGTGCACCTCGCTCGCCCCGCCGTGGTGGTCTAGTGGCTAAGGTACTCGGCTGCTGACCCGCAGGTCGCGGGTTCGAATCCCGGCTGCGGCGGCTGCATTTCCGATGGAGGCGGAAATGTTGTAGGCCCGTGTGCTCAGATTTGGGTGCACGTTAAAGAACCCCAGGTGGTCAAAATTTCCGGAGCCCTCCACTACGGCGTCTCTCATAATCATATGGTGGCTTTGGGACGTTAAACTCCACATATCAATCAATCAATCAATCAATCAATATACACCTCGCTCAAAATGTGCTGCCATGGAATCATCTAACTTTCTGCGCCTTGTGAACATCATAACGGAAGGACGTCCGTACTCTCATGCACGCCAATCGCAGTCAACGCCGTGAACTAGCTTACTTATCCGATCGCTTTTGAACGTCCGGGTTGATAACAGGTTGGTGTCATGCTTCGCCCGGGTTGCTCCTGCGATAAGCGCCGGCTTTAGACCGTCATATTCCAATGCGTCACTGTCCTCTATATTTGCGTCGGAAAGGCAAGTCCAACGCGTTGCGGCCACTAGACGATCGGCCACACTCTGGGCAGGTGCTTCAGCCTTGAGGAAGGCATGTCCGCTTGTCGAAAGGTTGGCTCGACACAACCTCTGTTTAAAGATATTTTCATCCCAAGGAGTTTATGTTACATTTTCAGGCTGCTCTGCCCTTCTGTTCTGCATCATTTTTACTGCTATCAATATTTTTAAACACTAGTTCATATAGAGGTTGCTCTTCATGGACCACTATAGTGTTCTATAGTTCATACCTACGTATATAGTTCATACGTAGGTGTAAGTAGAAGAGCATATAGTCACGGGTTTTACGCAACTGGCAGTTGCGGAAAACCAGTGACTATATGCTTTTCCACCTATACCTACGCTAAAAGAGGCTGTAATAGGTTTAAGCTGATGCAATGAGCACTCACGCTACAGATAGAGAAGGGTCGGTGGGTGACGCATTATCTGCAGTGCTCATAATCGTGCTTTGACATTCCTGTTGAGGCAGGTCGTGTATAGGATTGTCCGATAACGTTGGCGGAACATTGGTGCTTTCGGCGAACGTTGCATGCAGCCTGCGGGCTCAGGGTAAAAAAAAATAATGCAACAAAAATCACAGCATATCCACGCACTGAATGATGATGAGTGGGGCGAAGCTTCCGTCCGTCCGTTTGTGCATCCATCCGTCCGTCCAACCGTGGGTTGATCTGTCCGTCCGTGCGTCTGTATGTCCGTCCGTCTAGTGAACACTCCAAATACCACCATGTCGCATCTTTCTATCATATATTTATTATTGAAATACCACGGTTCAGCTGACGCTTTATTCAAGCAACGGCAAGATGGCGCCGATGATGAAGAAGAACGGAACGTAAAATAATGATGGTTATTGACAGATGAGGAAGATGACGTCCAATGAATTCTTACATTATATACAAGTTCCGCCTTCTAGCGGACATTCCGATAAAGTGGCACGTGGCATATCTTCTAGGTATGCTTTGATAATAATACCTAGGTATGCTTTGATAGTATTTCGGTGTGCATGGGTAATATTTCGGTGATGGAGACGGGAATGTTGTAGCCCCGTATGCTCAGATTTTGGTGCATGTTAAAGAACCCCAGGTGGTCGAAATTTCCGGAGCCCTCCACTACGGCCTCTCTCATAATCATAGCGTGGTTTTGGGACGTTAAACCCCACATATCTATCAACCTTCAACATACCTTAACAGGAGATAGTGGGATAGTCAGGTTAAACATATTGTGAGAAGAGCCTGCACCACTACTGTATCGCAGGTAGTCAGGTTAAACAGTAGAAGTGCCTCAGACAGGCTGGCCGACGTTTCGATAGGAGGACCTATCTTTGTCAAATGCATCTTGTCATCCTTGGCGTGTTAGCCGATGACGTTATGACGTTACTATTAACCCTCTTAAAACTAACACGCCAAGGATGACAAGGTGCCTTTGACGAAGATGGGTCCTCCTATCGCAACGTCGGCCAGCCTGTCAGAGGCACTTGTACTGTTCAACATGATTATCCCACTACGTGTTTCCATCTGTCGGCTCCCTCATATGGCGAATTCCGTTGGGAAAGCAGCAGCACTCAAAGGCACGCTGAAAGTGCTCTTTTCAGAGCCGGCGTGTTGCCCCGCCGCGGTGGTCTAGTGGCTAAGGTACTCGGCTGCTGACCCGCAGGTCGCGGGTTCAAATCCCGGCTGCGGCGGCTGCATTTCCGATGGAGGCGGAAATGTCGTAGGCCCGTGTGCTCAGATTTGGGTGCACGTTAAAGAACCCCAGGTGGTCAAAATTTCCGGAGCCCTCCACTACGGCGTCTCTCATAATCATATGGTGGTTTTGGGACGTTAAACCCCACAAATCAAATCAAATCAGAGCCGGCGTGTTTCAGTGGTCGAACAGGTGCAGGAGCACTGTCATCTATTGGTAGAGCGAGAGGGATTTCGCTGTGCCGGAAGCAGCCAGGAGCAGTTTGTAGTGCCACGGGCGCTGGATGAAAAAGCCTGTGCGTTTTACATCCAGCGGCCGTGGTAGCTCTCTCGCCTGAAAAGCGGAGTAGGCGCAGTACGACGAGTCACGTGACCCTTGAAGGTCACCGAATTTTTCTTCAGCGGGCAAGTGGCGCGGCCACGGCAATGATAGAAAGCAACCATGTGTAGTTTGACACCGCGCTGTTTCGTACGTGTGGCTACGATGCACAGCTGGACGTCTGCTGAAAGCGGCGTTGCACATGCTGCCCTACAGAGAATATGCCGGAGCTTGGAATGTTTCCGTCACATACATGGTCCCCCACTCATCACGCCTTTCCTTCACCTGCCCTCGCGGAGCGCGCCGCATTCCTGTGGCAGGTTGAGTGGCCCTGCGTGGAGTGCTCTGCCCCCCACTCCTCACTGCCCTGCCCCTCTACTCCTGTTCTCTCAATGGAATTCGCCAATAGATACTGAACAGGAGATATCGCGATACCGTCAAAACAGGGTTCGTTAGATACCACTATACTGTATGCGTGATTCCAAGCAAGTCACCTTCTGGCACAGATAATAGCGCATTGATGCCTGAGAAAAGAGTGGCTATTATAGGTTCATAACATGCGGGATTTATTAAAATGTCGTACTCTTTCTTTTCATTTATGAGCTTGCATTCCAGGCGCCAAAAAAAGACAGGAATTAACGTTATCGCCGCGGTGCTTTCATCTCTTAAGCGACCGACAATCGCTCTGATAACCGCGATTCCGCTCTATCGTCCGGCAGTTTCCTGGGAGACAAACTCTAGTGCGTGTGGTATCGATGGCGCATTCTTTTCCCTCTGATGAACGTCCGTCGATTCATTCTCTCGTGTTTTTTTTTTTCTTCTTATGTGGCTGTATTTTTTCCAACATGGTCAACACGTTACTGAGCATGCGTTTATATGTTGCCCTTCCACAGGGAGCGTCGGTACTCGCAATGCTGAGACTTCAATTGATTGAAGCCGGAAATAAAAGAAAGTGACGCACGAACTCAAGTATAGAAGTCCAATAGACTCAAGTTGATGCGCTGATCGACCGTAGCTATTAGATGTGCGTGTCAGGAGGACTAAGGTGATGCATTTAAATTGCGCGGATACTTGTTTTTTGTCGACTTTTCTGTTGCGTGGACAGATTTTCGTATTGAAGTATTAGTTCTAAGGGCGCGAGTGTTGTACCATATAGTTTTGTGTTGGTTCTTTACTTTTCGGTCGACAACTATAGTGCTAGAGAAGAGGAGTAGGTTGTGCCACGCATAAGCACCAATTACTTATGTATACATAACGAGTAATATAAGGTAACGCGTAATATTTGTTGTGAAAATAATGTTGATAAGAGGCGTTTGTACGTGGAAGTGCGATGCATATTTTCACATACGTCTTGTTTCTGCGTGTTAATATCATTTTTTCTCGTTTTTCACCAAGATGGTGTGCATGCATTTAGTCAATCATTTATTTTTTTAGGCAAGAAACGTTACTTGG